TTCACTTATATGAAATATCTGGAATGATCAAATTCCTAGAGACAAAAAGTAGAATAATGGTTACTAGGGGCTAACAAAGAGGAACACAGAATTCATTTTGAGGTGAAAAAGTTCTAGAGATGGATACTGGTGATACTGCACATAGAGATGAATGTATTTTAATAGTACTGAATTTTACTTTTAAGAATTATTAAAAATTTAACTGAGCACCAATGGTTCATACCTGTAATACCAGCTGCTCAGGAGGCTGAAATCTGAGGATCTTGGTACGAAGCCAGCTTGGGCAGACAAATCTTCTAGACTATTTCCAATTAACCCGCCAAAAATAGAGGAGGTGGCACTCAAGTAGCAGAGCTCCAGCCTTGAGTGAAAAGGGAAGGTACAGTATTCAGGGAATGAAAAGCCCAGTATTGGCAGGAGAAAAAAAATCTTTCTAATTCCAACACTCCACAGGTTAAGGCAAGAGGATTATGTATTTTGAGGTGAGCCCAAGTTACATAGTGGAACTCAGACTCAAAACAACAAACAAGTGAGCTAGTGCTGTGGCTTAAGTGGAAGGGTACCTGCCTAGAAAGCCACCCTGAGTTCAAACCCAAGTACTGCCAAAAGATTAAAAAGAAAAACTTGGGCTGGGAATGTGGCTTAGTGGTAGAGTGCTTGCCTAGCATGCATGAAGCCCTGGGCTTGATTCCTCAGTACATAAATAGAAAAGGCTGGAAATAGCAGGATGGCTCAAGTGGTAGCGTGCTAGCTTTGAGCAAAAGAAGCTCAGGGACAGTGCCCAGTCCCTGAGTTCAAACCCCAGGACTTGCAAAAAATAAATAAAAGGAAAAACTTTTTATCAGATAGCCCTCTGTATCTAATTTGAATGCTTCATTTGTTTCTAAAGTTAATGGGCAATTCCAAAGAAAAAAACATTTTTGTGAATATTAGCAAATATAAACATATTAACTATTATTGCAAAATGCTGCTTCATAGTAGGTTTTTCCCCCATAACAGGACAAAGATTTTTTTTTCTTTTTTATGCTGGTTCTGGGGCTTGAACTCAGGGCCAGGAGCTATCTCTCAACTTTATTTATTTATTTATTTATTTTGGGTCCGGTTGTGGGGCCTGAACTCTGGGCCTGGGCGCTGTCCCTCAGCTCTTCAGCTCAAGGCTAGCGCTCTACCACTTGAGCCACAGTGCCACTTTCGGCTTTTTTCTTTTTGCGTATGTGGTGCTGGGGAATTGAACCCAGGGCCTCAGGCCTTTGCAAGGCAAGCGCTCTACCACTGAGCTACCTTCCCAGCCCTCTCTCAACTTTATTACAAAAGACTAGCATTCTAACTTGAGCCACTGCTCCACTTCCACACTTCAGCTTTTTTTTTCTTCCCAGTCATAGAGCTTGAACTTTGGGCCTAGGCTCTGTCCCTGAGCTCTTTAGCTCAAGGCAAGCACTTTACCACTTGAGTACAACTCCATTTCCCATTTTCTGGTGGTTAATTAAAGAGTCTCATGGACTTTCCTGCCTCAGCTGACTTTGAATCGCAATCCTCAGATCTTAGCCTTCCTGAGTAACTAGGATTATAGGCGTGAGTCTCCAGTGCCCAGCAACTTGCAGCTTTTTTGGTGGTTAATTGGAGAAGTCTCATATAGTTTCCCTCAAGGGCCAGAGTTCAAGACCCAGGACTGACCGAAAAAAAAGAGTCTCACCAACTCTCCTGCCTGGGCTGTCTTTGAACTGCAGTCCTCAGATCTCAGCCTCCTAAGTAGCTAGGATTACAGGCCTGAGCCACTGGTGCTGGGCTGATTATCCATTTGTTCAGTCTATTTTTTTTTTTTTTTTGCCACTATCTTAAAAATCGTTATCTACCAACTCTACCACTTGAGCCACACTTACAGTTGAAGTATTCTATTATTTATTTATTTATTTATTTTTGTCATTCATGGGGCTTGAACTCTGGGCTTAGGGCACTGTCCCTGAGCTCTTCAGCTCAAGGTTAGTGTTCTACCACTTGAGCCACAGCGCCACTTCCAGTTTTCTGTTGCTTAACTGGAGATAAGAGTCTCACGGACTTTCCTGCCCAGGCTGGTTTTGAACCATAATATTCAGATCTCAGCCTCCTGAGCTAGGATTACAGGCATAAGCTACTAGTGCCAGGCTAAAGTATTCTATTTCTAAAACATTAAAGAGGCAAAATGATCTTGTACAAATATATGTAAGAAATTTAAATAAGGGGAATATAAAAAGGGATGATTAAGCCGGGTGCCAGCAGCTCAAGCCTATAATCCTAGCTACTCAGGAGGCTGAGATCTGAGGATCGCAGTTCAAAGCCAGCCTGGGCAGGAAAGTCGGAAAGCCTCTTTCTTATCTCCAATAAACCACTAGGAAGTGGTGCTGTGGCTCAAGTGGTAGAGCGCTGGCCTTGAGCTGAAGAGCGCAGGGACAGTGCCCTAAGCCCAGAGTTCAAGCCCTACGGCAGACCAAAAAAAAAAAGGGATGATTAAGCCAGGTCCTGGGAGATCTCATCTGTAATCCTAGCTACTCAGAAGGCTTAGATCTGAGAATCACAGTTCAAAGCCAGCCTAGGCACAAAATTCCATGAAATTTTTATTAAACAGCAAAAAGCTGGAAGTAGAGGTGTGGCTCAAGTGGCTGAACATCAGACTTAAATGAAAATCCAAGTGAGAATAAGAGGTCCTGAGTTAGACTCCTAGTACCAGCACACACACACACACACACACACACACACACACACACACACACACACACACACACTCGATTAAAATATTTAGTTTTCACTGGGCACTGGTGGCTCACACCTGTAATCCTAGCTACTCAGGAGGCTGAGATCTGAGGATTACAGTTCAAAACCATCAGGGTCAGGAAAGCCTGTGAGACTCATCTCCAATTAACCACCTGAAAACTAGAAGTGGAGCTGTGGCTTAATGTGGTAGAGCACTAGTCTTGAACAATAAAGCTCAAAAACACCACCTAGGCTCCGAATTCAAGCCTCACAACTGGCCAAAAATAAAATAAAATAAATTTAGTCCTGGGCTCAAGCAGTAGATAGTAGGTAAGTATGAAGCTCTGAGTTGAGGCCCCAGCACCAAAACAGTAAACAAAAAATTTAAAACCACCAAAATGGTGGGTTTTGTTTGAGACAAGCTCTTGCTATGTAGCCCAGGTTGGCCTCAAATTCCAAATCCTCCAGCCTCAGGTTCCAGGGTTTTAGGATTACAAGTCTATACCACCATGTTTAGCTTTATTCTTTTAAAAAAAGTTATAAAGTTTGAACTCAGGATCTCTAAACATTTATAATAATTGACACAATAGCCTGAATACCTTAGATAATCCAGTAAATGAACTGTGCATGAGACTATTACACAGAAATCAGAAAGAATGAGACAGATTCAGATGCACTTAACAATCGAATTGATTTGGTAAAGGGGTCAAGGACAACAAGAAGCTCTATACTATGACTGATTATTTTTTTGTAAATGTAAAATAACTCCTGGCAAAACACAAAGAATTAAATGGTTACTTACCTCTCTCTAGACAAGGATGGGAGAGAGCAGGGGAAAGAACAGGCTGCTGCTTCTCTATTCTTTTCAAGTGTGACAAAAGTTAACTATAGAGGTGGGAATATGGCTTAGTGGTATAGAGTGCTTGCCTAGCATGCATGAAGCCCTGGGTTCAATTGTTCAGTACCACATAAACAGAAAAAGCCAGAACTGGCATTGTGGCTCAAGTGGTAGAGTGTAAGCCTTGAACAAAAGAAGCTCAGAGGCAGTGCCCAGGCCCCAGGACTGACACCAAAAAAAAATTTTTTTTAAAAAATAACACAAGTTTAGAAAGTAAAGATAAATTTAAGGATTAACACTATGGATCTAAATGAGTAGGCACATTTACATTAACATAAAAAGGAGGACAAACAAAAATATTGGTCATACTCAAAAGTTACCTGAACAATGGTGAATCCAGATCTGAGAATAATATCTTGTATCTCCTCCTCTTTGTCAACAATATCTGGTTTGATGATGGCCAGAGTTTTTTCTACATATATTTGAGGTGGGGGCATTGATAGCTCCATTTTGGCTTTTCTGGTACAATTTAAGTTTCTTGACAGGTATCACTGCAATGACATGGGTTTCCGCCATCCCAAATTCAATGTAATTGTGATTAAATGCTAGTATTGGTTTTATTTATAGAAAAAAATATAGACAACAAATACAGATCAATCTATATGGATATATGCTTTCACTGAGGCAAGGAGGATCAAGGTATGAAAGTCTGAGACAACTGTAGCAATTCTAGCCACTACAGGGTGGGGTGGGGAAGGTAGGGAGTTGGGGGAAGGGGGGGGGGGGCGTGACCCAGCAGGCTGCTTTAGTAAAAATCCTCAGCCCTAGAGATTACTTTTGTAAAGGTAAGGCATGACTAGAAGGCAAGATTAGCACTGGCTAGTCTGGACCCTCTGAATACAAACTCACCGAGGTGCAACCAGCCCTCCAGTGTGTTCACAATCTGTTGCTAGGAGATTTGAAGCCCATTTCCTACGGTGGCTGCACAGGGCCAATCCTAGTAAGACTTTTTGCAATCTCTAGCCTAGCTGTTTAAACCAAAGCAGGAAGTCACCACAAGCTGTTTTTATTATCTTGTGAAACTTAGAGCCCTAGACATTTTCCAACAGATTCCTCATAATTTTATCTTCTCTCATTTGAAGAATACTTGAATTATCATCATTTGGATAAGACAAATTGTAGCCGTCTCCTTCACTTCACCCTATCATCTTCCACATAATACATGAAAAATGACTTGTCAAATTTCATGCTTGTTTCACCACATGATTCTGTCCCTTTAGTCCCAGCTTCTGTAATCAGTAAAAAGCTATCTTTGGAGATCCTGGTGACATACTTCTGTAGCCTCTAATTCCCAGCATGCCAACATAGTGAGACTGTCTCAAACAAACAAAAAGGCAATATTGTTTGTAAAATATTTATTTATAGAGCAGAAGTAAAAGATTCATTCTATTGGCAAGCATCTTTGAGTACTTGGTTGTGAGGTAAGTCTTTACTTTTAATTGAAAAGTAAAGAGAGGTGGTAAACAAGCCCTGGGATCTTCTCTGGTTATCCTCAAAAGGTCTAAACTTCAGAAAGGGTCAGAGTAGTAGTTCCAGGTTAAAAACAAAACAGGCTTCCATCATCCACTAGGGTAGCTTGATACTCATTCCAGACTACTTAAGTCTCTTCTTTTGTCCAACCAAATACTCAGCACCTACAGGAGAAAGTCACAGATAGCAGGCTGTGAAATTTAAAGGCTACAGGGTTGAATGTAAATTTGTGTGTGTGTTTGTGTGCGTGTGTGTGCGCGTGTATGTGTGTGTGCTGGTCCTGGGGCTTGAATTCAGGGCCTGAACACTGTCCTGAACTTTTTTTTTACTCGACAGTAGCACTCAACCCCTGAGCCACAGTTCTACTTACAGGTTTTTGGTGGTTAATTGGAGATAAGAGTCTCACAGACTTTCCTGCCTGGGCTGGATTCAAACTACAATCCTCAGATCTCAGCCTCTTGAGTAGCTAGGATTACAGACTTGAGCCACCAGCACTAGGCTAGAAAGCAAGAAAGTATGCTTTCTCTTCTGTTTTGTCCAGAAAATAAAAACTTAGATTTTTGAAGCTACTATATCTTATCCCTAAAAACAGGAAAGTGTGAACATACATTATTAGTATGAACAGATGTAGCAACCAAAAAAGAGTTACTCCAGTCCCTGGGTGTGTAATTTTAGCCTTCCAGCTTGAAGCTTTGAAAGTAGGTCCTGGGCTGGGAAGTTGGCTCAGTGGTAAAGCGCTTGCCTTGCATGCCTGAGGCCCTGAGTTCGATTCCTCAGCACCACATAAGCAAAAAGAAAAAAAAGCCGGAAGTGGTGCTGTGGCTCAAGTGGTAAAGCGCTAGCCTTGAGCTGAAGAGCTGAGAGACAGCGCCCAGGCCTAGAGTTCAGGCCCTATGACCGGACCCCCCCCCAAAAAAAAGATGAAAGTAGGTCCTATCGTACATCTCAACTCCCTTGCTACCTGCCTTCCTAGTCACCTCATTATGTATTAAACCTGGACTTACTAAGACTTGGAAATTTCCAATCCCCAAAATACTATATCAATCATTAATATTTTTTCAATCTTGTCAAAAGACTAAACTCTGGTGCCAGATTCCAGTGGCTTATGCCTGTAATTCTAGCTACTTGGGAGGTTTGAAGCTAGCCAACAACAAATCCAAGAGACTCTTAGCTCCCTTTCCCAGGAAAAAGTAGGAAGCAGAGGCATGGTTCAAGTGTAGAGTACCAGCCTTGAGCAGAAAAAGCTATAAGCAAGAATGTGAGGCCCTGAGTTCAAGTTCCAGCACTGGCACATACACATGCGTGTGCACACAAACACACAAAGATTAAACTCTGGGATAAAAATGTCATTGCAGAAGGAGAGAGCATGTGACACAGCCAGTATGGTGGAGCCCTAGGATTATCCTGTTTACAAATAAATCACTTGAGTTTTAAAAAAATGTCATTGCAACATCACCTTTATTCTTTTCAAAATCAGATTCCAGATACACCCTTTCTTCTTGCAGAAATCTCTATATATGTAGTACCTGAATCTGCTCCAACACTTCTCTCTGCATCTCCACAGCCATATGGTACACATGATGATCAGAGTCATTGTACATAACAGCATTTTGGAACATCAGCATCAGGTCCCGCTGGAACTGGGGCATGGTACGAATCCGTCCCTTAGACAGATTTCTCTTCAGGCTAGTTAAGTCCATGGGTCTGCAGATGGCCAAGTAGGGACAGGTTCCACTATTATTTCCAACTAGCAGATGAAATAACTAAGATCTAAAGAGTTTAAGTACATGCCCAAAATTATACTGCCTAGATTCTAATTTGGAAGCAGTCTGACTCTAGAGCTCACAGACTTACTATCATAGGAGGGAATAAGTGCTGGCCTCAAGTATCAAAGCAGCACCAATGAACAGTTTATCTCACTGTAATTATTGGCTGTTTGTTTTTGTAAAGTTTAGCAAGTATTTATTTACTTAAGTGAAATAGGGCTAAAGCATGGAGAAATGGAGAAAAAGAACCATTTCCTGCTCTCTAGATGGAAAACTATTACTTCTTTTCATGGAGATAGAAAAGTAAAAATCAGGGGCTGGGAAGGTAGCTCAGTGGTACTTGTATGCCTTGTATGCATGAGGCTCTGGGTTCGATTCCTCAGCACCACATAAGCAGAAAAAGCCGGAAGTGGCGCTGTGGCTCAAGTGGTAGAGTGCTAGCCTTGAGCTGAAGAGCTGAGGGACAGCACCCAGGCCCAGAGTTCAGGCCCCACAACTGACCAAAAAAAAAAAAAAGTAAAATCAACTGAATATTAAGATAATTATTTAATGAGACATAAAAAGTAAGTGTAAGTATTGGGGATGTGGATCAGAAGGCACAGCAATAAGCCAGAAGCCAATGGCTATAATTCTAGCTACTCAGGAGGCTAAGACTGAAAATAATAGTTTGAAGCCAGTCCAAGCAGAAAAGTCTGTGAGACTCTCTTATCTCAAGTTAACAAGCAAAATGCCAGAGTGGAGCTGTGGCTCAAGTGGAAGAGCATTAGCCTTGGGTAAAAAGCTAAGCAAGAGTATGAGGCCCTGATTTCAAGCCCCACTACTAGCACACCCACACACAGACACATACACACAAAGGCACAGTAGTGTAGAAAGAGGACTGAGCTAGAAGTAAGAATCTGGGTTCATGACTACCCTAAACCTTACTTTGCTCATTTACAGATGGAAGGAATTTGTCTTTCTCTTGAATGATGGCTCTCTTCCTGAAACTTAACCCCAATGCAAAGAATATTAAGTGTGGACTTTTTAGAGAAGAATTAAGTCACCGGGGCTCTACTCTCATAAAAGAATTAATATACTAATATACTAATAAGAATTGGAGATTGCAGTCTTGCCCCTCTATCCCTTCCCTGCTGAAGGACAAGCATTTATCCCTCTGGTAGTGCAGCAAAGACATGAGCATGGAAGCAGAGAACAGCTCTTACAAGACATTATTTCCCTGATAGTTATTTTGAGCTTTGATTTCCCTTCCTTCAAATCCATGAAAAATATTTAGCTATGCTGGCACAGGTAGTTCATGCCTGCAATCCTACTACTCGGAAGGCTGAGATCTGAGGCCAACTCAGACACAAAAGTCAGACTTTTGTCCTTATCCCTAATCAATCACAAAAATGCTGGAAATGGAGCTGTAGCTCTGATGGTAGAGTGCTAGCCTTTGGGCAGAAAAGCTAAGGAACAGCAACTAGGCTGAATTCAAGCCCCAGTACTAACACACACACACACACACACGCACGCACGCACGCACGCACGCACGCACGCGCGCGCGCGCGCGCGCGCGCAAATGGTTCAGTTTGTAGAATTTTGTTGTAGGAGAACAGATAGACTAACACAGTCAGTCTTCAAGGCTGCTGTCATAATCTTTTAAATTCGGTTATCATATTGTTTTATAACAAAATTTAAGAGAAACTATGCTTCTAAAATCCAAAATATTGCCATTAAGCAATGTTATGAATTTCCAATTTTGTTAAGATGTTCATTTTAGCATGCCTAAAACTTACTTCCTAGACAAATATAGAGTTCCTTTTAAAGTTTTCCTTCAAAGGCTAGTGTCAAAAACTGTCAGAAAAGGTGCTGGGGGGGGGGGGAGGAGTGTGGGGGGGAACAGAGGGGGCTGGGGGGGGAGGATGGGAAGGGATAGGAAGGGGAAACAAAGGAGGAGGCTACAATGCTTGATAAGAAATGTACTCATTATCTTGCCCATGTAATTGTAACCCCTCTGTACAGTATTTTCACAATAAAAAAATTATGTATAAAAAAAACCTGTCAGAAAAAGCTGGTCTGTAATCCTAGCTACCGGACACTGAGATCTCAGGATTGAGGTTCAAAGCCAGCTGGGGCAAGAAAGTCTGAGATTCTTACCTCCAATTAACCACCCAATCTAGAAGTATAGCTGTGGCTCAAACAGTAGAGTGCTAGCCTTGAACAAAAAAATCTCAAAGACAATGACCCCTGAGTTCAGGCCCCAGGACCAGTATACACAGTACACACACACACACACATACACACACACACACACACACACACACACACACACACACGACCAGTACACACACACACACACACACACACACACACACTCTATTAGAGAAGCAGGCATGGGAATATATATAATACCTGTAATCACAGTACTGAAGATCACAAGTTTGAGGCCAACCGGGGCTACCTTAGTGAAACTGTCAAAATCAAACCAAACAACAACAAAAACAAAATATCTATCAAAGGTTAATATGAGAGACTAAAACGCAGGCATGGTGGTCACAGCTGTAGTCCATGTACTCAGGAAGTTCACTTGAGCCCAGGCAACATAGTAAAGCCCCTTCTCAATTAAAAAAAAAAAGTATTAGTCCAGGCACCAGTGACTCATGCCTGTAATGCTAGCTACTCAAGAGGCTGAGATCTGAGGGTCACAGTTAGCAGCCAACCAGAGCAGGAAAGTCCATGAGACTCTTCTCTCCTATTAACAACCAAAAAGTGGGAAGTGGAGCTGTGGTTCAAGTGGCAGTGTGCCATCCTTGAATGAAAAAGCTACAGGACAACATCCAGGCCCTGAGTTCAAACTCCAGGATGAGTACCATCTCTGCCCCACCCCTCCCTGGAAAAAAAAAGGACTGAAATGAATATACCTTCTTCTTCTTCCTCCTCTTTTTTTTGGGGGGTGGGGGCCCAGTTGTGGGGCCTGAACTCTGAGCCTGGACGCTGTCCCTCAGCTCTTCAGCTCAAGGCTAGCGCTCTACCACTTGAGCCACAGCACCACTTACAGCTTTTTTTCTTTTGCTTATGTGGGGCTGAGGCATCGAACCCAGGGCCTCAGGCATGCAAGGCAAGTGCTCTACCACTGAGCCACCTTCCCAGCCCCCCCTCCTTTTTTTTTTTTTTTGCCAGTCCTGGGGCTTGAACTCAGGGGCTGAGCACTGTCCCTGAGCTGCTTTTGCTCAAGGCTAGCACTCTACAAATTGAGCCACAGTGTCACTTCCAGCTTTTTCTGTTGCACTAAGGAATAGAATCCAGGGCTTCATGCATGCTAGACAAGCATTCTACCACCAAGCCACATTCCCAGTCCTGAATACACTTTCTTTTTCTTCTTTCTTCTTCTTCTTCTTCTACTTCTTCTTCTTTCTTTTTTTTTTTTTTGTCAGTCGTGGGGCTTGAACTCTGGGTCTGGGCATTATCCCTCAGCTCTTCAGCTCAAGGCTAGCACTCTACTACTTGAGCCATAGCGCCACTTCTGGGTTTCTGGTAGTTAATTGGAGATAGTCTCACAGACTTTCCTGGATGGTTTTGAACTGCGATCCTCAGATCTCAGCCTCCTGAGTAGCTAGGATTACAGGCATGAGCCACCAGCTCCCAGCTTGAATATACCTTCTTTAAAGGCAAATGCTGAACAAAAGATAAATATCCTTTTATTCCCTGAATTACTTCTCAAATGAAGACTAATTCACCATAACTTTACAAACTAGGTCATCTGTAAAATACATTTTAAAAATAAAATAAATAATCTGACAAGTGAAAAAATGATAGAATGATAGGGTTTTTTTTAATCAACTTTTAAAAAACGTAGTTAATGTTATTGTGTGTGTGTGTGTGTGTGTGTGTGTGTATGTTTATGGTGCTAGGGATTGAACCCAGGTTCTCAAATATGCTAGGCAAAACACTCTATGTTACCAACCATGTGAAATCCACAGCCCTCAACCAACTTTTCTTGATCCTTTTCCACCGACCTTTTTACCACATCCTTGTATCCTGGGGCCTGCCTTTCTGACACAGGCTTTAGAAATGGACTGCTGAACCTGTTAAGGAACAAATCCAGAGAAGAAAAGGAACCATATTAAGTTACGTTGCATGAGAAGAGTGGCTATGAACAAGATTTTCTAAAACTACAGTATGGCTCAGGTTTTTCTTAGGCAAATGCATACTGTGAACACTACTGACAAAAAAAATCTATTATTTTACACTTGCCAAACAGAAATAACACCAAAAAAATTTATTTAACCATTATTATAATCTATTTACTTAGGTTCAGAAATTTGTTCAAAGTTCCTGAGGCCTCTCTGTGAAAAAAGAGAATTTACCATACTGGAAAGACGTGTGTGTGTGTGTGTGTGTGTGTGTGTGTGTGTGTGTAAAGGTGTGTGTGTGTGTGTACGTGCGCACGCGCATACCCACATGTGCCAGTCCTGGGACTTGAACTCAGGGCTTATGTGCTGTCCATAAGCTCCTTTGGCTCAAGGCTAGCACCTACCACTTGAACCAAAACTCCACTTCCAGCTTTTTGGTAGTTTTTTGGGGATACAAGTCTCTTTCTTGCCTGACTGGCTTCAATTCTCAGATCTCAGCTTCCTAAGTAGCTAGGATTACAGGCGTGAGCCACCAGCATCTGGCTCCAGGCCAGGTTTGTTTGTTTTCCCCCACCCCCTCTCATCCTGGGACTTGAACTTAGCTTCTCAGTGCCCAAGGTTAGAGCTCTACAGCTTGAGCCACAGTGCCACTTCCAGCTTTCTCTGAGTAATTTATTGGAAATAAGATTCTCACAGCCAGGTGCCGGTGGCTCATGCCTGTAATCCTAGCTACTAAGGAGGCTGACATCTGAGGATCGTGGTTCAAAGTCAGCCCAGGCAGGAAAGGCTGTGAGACTCTTATCTCCAATAAACCACTCAGAAAACTGGAGGTGGCACTGTGGCTCAAGTGGTAGAGTGCTAGCCTTGAGCTAAAGAGCTGAAGGACAGAGCCCAGGCCCAGAGTTCAAGCCCCATGACTGACAGGAAAAAAAAAAAAAAGAGTCTTACAGACTTTTCCTGCCTGGGCTGGCTTTGAACCTTGAACCTCAGATCTCAGCCTCTTGAGTAGCTAGAATTACAGGTGTAAGCTACCAGTGCCTAGCTTCCAGGCTAGTTTTGAACCAAGATCCTCATATCTGAGCATCTTGAGCAGCTATGTTGACAGGCTTTAGCTATCAACACCTGGCTACAATGATTTCTTGTACATACTAGTGAAAGCAGCTATGGCGGTACTATGGCTCACTAGAGGGATAAACCAAATGTATCTCCTTTCATGCTTAAGTTCTAATTCTTTATTGCTTCTATTCTGAACACAATCCTATTACTACTTTGGAGACTTACCTGTGACTGGCAATCATTTTCCAAACTGGCAAAAGAGTCTTCTTAAATAGCAAATGATTCTGAACAGGGTCATCTTGGCTTAGATCAGTCCTTCAGCATACAACATGCCAGAGAAGAAAAAGTAACCTCACAATTATTCTCTCTCTCAAAGGGAATGAGATTTTTCTCAAGGCATAGTATACCTAATTAATATAACAGCATAGGAATATATTTAATGTTTCTATAAGGGCCTATAAACTTATATATTCTTCTACTTATCATTATCACTGAAATGGTTACCTCCTTATAAAGTATGCTATAATTCTACAATTGGTGGTGCTTTTTTACTCTTACTGATTTGCTTTTCAGCATCTTTGACTCGAAAGAATTTGTCTATAAAAGCAGTTTCTGTTCAATAATGATTTCAAACAGTCTACAAGAGACCCTGGCACATAGTTTGTGCTCAGTAAGTAACTTAGTTGAAAAAGTAATCTCATCCTGTTTTAATCCAGAGAAGGAAATGCTTGCTTTCTTAGATCAAAGAATTCCTGTTTTATCTGAGTGCTAAATAATTTAAATATTTTTCCTTTTCACTCTCCGTGGTCTAGTTTTTTATTTTTTGTTTTTAATGCCAGTGCTGTACTGAACTCAGGGCTGGGCCGCTATACCTTACATTTATTCTCTTAAGGCTAGTGGTCTACCATTTAGCCACGGTTCTACTGTACTTCGAGCTTTTTGGTGGTTAATTGGAGATAAGCGTCTCATGGTCAGGTACCTGTAGCTCATACATAAATCCTAGCTACTCAGGAGGCTGAGATTTGAGGATCTTGGTTTGAAGACAGCCCAGGCAAGAAAATCTGTGCAATTCCAATGAACTCCAAATCTCCAATTAACTACTAAAAAAGGTATTAGTGGTTCAAGTGGCAGGCAGAAGACTAGCTTTGAGCAAAAAAACTCAGGAATAACACCCAGGCTCAGAGTACAAGCTCCAGGACAGGCACAGACAAAAGTCACCAACTATCTCACAGACTGTCCTACTAGACTTTGAACCTTAATCCTTAGCTCTTACTAAGATTACAAGCATGAGCCATCAGCACCTGGCTCATGAATATCTATTAAAAGTATTTTTTGGGGGGGTCCGGTCGTGGGGCCTGAACTCTGGGCCTGGGCGCTGTCGCTCAGCTCTTCAGCTCAAGGCTAGGCGCTCTACCACTTGAGCCACAGCGCCACTTCCGGCTTTTTTCTTTTTTGCTTATGTGGTGCTGAGGAATCGAACCCAGGGCCTCATGCATGCAAGGCAAGCGCTCTACCACTGAGCCACCTTCCCAGCCCTCTTTCTCTCTTTCTTTCTCTTTCTTTCTCAGCCCCTATTAAAAGTATTTTTAAAGAAATGTACTCATGGGGTGGGAAGGTGGCTCAGTGGTAGAGCGCTTGCCTTGCATGCATGAGGCCCTGGGTTCGATTCATCAGCATCACATAAGCAAAAAAGAAAAAAGCCGGAAGTGGCGCTGTGGCTCAAGTGGTAGAGCTGAAGAGCTGAGGGACAGAGCCCAGGCCCAGAGTTCAGGCCCCACGACTGGACCTAAAAAAAAAAAAGAAATGTACTCATGTTGGGCGCTGGTGGCTCACGCCTGTAATCCTAGCTACTCAGAAGGCTGAGATCTGAGGATCATGGATCAGAGCCAGCCTGGGCAGGAAAGTCTGTGAGACTTATCTCCAATAAACCACCAGAATACCAGAAGTGGTACTGTGGCTCAAGCGGCAGAGCGCTGGCCTTGAGCTGAAGAGCAGAGGGACAGCGCCCAGGCCCAGAGTTCAAGCCCCATGACTGACAAAAAAAAAAAAGAAAAAGAAATGTACTCATTACCTTACTTATGTACCTATAACCCCTTTATACATCACCTTTATAACAATAAAAAATTAAATAAAAAATACTTTTAAGCTTGTCTGCTGATAAGATAGGACATGTTTTCTATATCACTTAAGATATTGGGACAAGCTGGATGCCTGTGGCTCTTGCCTGTAATCCTAGCTACTTAGGAGGCTAAGATCTGAGGATTATGGTTTGAAGCCAGCTTGGGCAGGAAAGTCTGTGAAACTCTTATTTCCAATTAAATTACAGAAAAAGCCAGAGATGGTGCTGTGGCTCAAGTGGTAGAGTACTAGACTTGAGCAAAAGGAGCTCAGGGACAGTACCCAGTCTCAGAGTTCAAGCCTCAGGACCGCCAAAAATAAAAAAAAGATATATGGACAAAGAGTTAATTGCTTTGTTTTTAGGGTTTCCCTCCCCTCCTTCTTTCTTTTATCTTTCTTTCCTTCCTTCCCAGTTTCTTTCTTTACTTCTCCTACTCCATTTCTTTGTTTAGTGTTTGCCCTGTGGCTTGAACTCAGGGCCTGGCCATTTGTCCCTGAGCTTTTTTGTTCAAGGCTCATGCTCTAACACTTGAACCACAGCTCTACTTCTAGCTTATTGATGGTTAATTGGAGATAAGAGTTTCACAGACTTTCTTGTCCAAGCTGGCTTCAAAATGTGATCCTCAGATGTCAGCCTCCTGAGTTTCTAGGATTATAGGCATAAACCACCAGCACTTGAGCAGTATTTTTTTTTTTTTTTTGCCAGTCCTGGGCTTGAACTCAGGGCCTGGGCACTGTCCTTGAGCTTCTTTTTGCTCAAGGCTAGCACTCTACCACTTGAGCCACAGTGCCACTTCCAGCTTTTTCTGTATATGTGGTACTGAGGAACCCAGGGCTTCATGCATGCTAGCCACATTCTCTAAGCTTTTCCTTTCCTTTTCTTTTCTTTTTGTCAGTCGTGGGGCCTGAACTCTGGGCCTAGGCACTGTCCCTCAGCTCTTCAGCTCAAGGCTAGCACTCTACCACTTGAACCACAGCACCACTTCAGGCTTTTTCTGCTTATGTGGTACTGAGGAATCAAACCCAGGGCCTCGTGCATGCAAGGCAAACACTCTATCACTGAGCCACCTTCCCAGCCCCTTTCTTTTCTTTTAATGCTGTTATCAGGGGCTTGAACTCAGGACCCCATGCTCTCATTAGCTTTTCTTTTTCAAAGCTTGTACTCTACCACTTGAGCCCCACTTCTACTTCTCATATTTTGCTGGCTAATTGAAGATGGAGTCTCATAGACTTTCCTGCCTGGGGTGGCTTTGAACTGTGACTCTCATGGACTCAGTCTCCTAAGTATGATTACAGGCATTTATTTTCCCCCCAGTACTGGGGATCAAACTCAAGACCTTATGCATGCAAGGTAAGCATTTACCACTGAACAACATCCAGAGTCCTGAACTTACAGTTTTGAGGAGTTAGTACTGTTGTAAAGGAAATCCACCAGGGGAGTTTCCTGAAAACTGAGGCTATCATCAATGTCACCTGAAGGGAGCTGTTCTTCCATCTCTGAAATATACCCTTCACCTTGGTCCTCTTCTTTGGAGTCTTCGTGAGCCTCCTGAGAATTCCAGAAAACAAAGCAAACTTTTTAAAATAATTATCCCCATTGTGATTTTGCACAGTTTATTGTTTTTTGTTTTTTTTTGGGTCCGGTCATGGGGCCTGAACTCTGGGCCTGGGTGCTGTCCCTCAGCTCTTCAGCTCAAGGCTAGCACTCTACCACTTGAGCCACAGTGCCACTTCTGGCTTTTTTCTTTTTGCTTATGTGGTGCTGAGGAATCAAACCCAGGGCCTTAGGCATGCAAGGCAAGCGCTCTACCACTGAGCCATCTTCCCAGCCCCTTTGCACAGTTTATGAAGGCTGAATGTGAGAAGTTGATTATACATAAAGCCACAAAAGAAATTAGAGAAAATTGGCTTAACTAGACTTAAGTCAATGAAATCTTAATAATCTTTTTGAAGAATTTTAACTTTGGCATACCCTGTTCCTACATTCCAAAATGAAAGAGCAGCATTTACTCAATTCGTGAACATTGTATTTTAAAAATCATTATCACCTTAGTTTGTGCTTTGAGGGCACTTAAAAAAAAAACTGTTTTGTTTATTTGTTTTGGTTGGTCATAGGGCTTGAACCCAGAACCTGCGAGCTGACCCTGAGGTCTTTTGCTTAAGGCTAGCATTCTACCACTTGAGCCACAGCATCACTTCTAGTTTTTGAGTGACTTTCCTACCCAGGCTGACTCTGAACTGCAATTCTCAGATCTCAGCCTCCTGAGTAACTAGGATTACAGGTCTGAGCCTGTAATCTAGTACCAGGCTAATTAAGTGATTTTTAAAAATTAAGATACAAAGAGGTTACAATGCCCATATATCAGATTATTAATACAGTGCATCTTTTTTTTGTGCCAGACTTGAACTGAGGGCCTGGGCACTATCCCTGCACCTTCCTGCTCAAGGCTAGTGCTCTTGTGCTCTACCACTTGAGACACAGCTTTACTTCCAACTTTTTTGTGGTTAAATCTTATGAACTTTCTTGCCCTAGCTGACTTCCAACTGTTCGTCCTCAGATTGTAGCCTCCTTAGTAGACAGGATTACAGCTGTGAGCCACCTGTGTGCAGCCTTCACTGGTTATTTTTAGGAGAAGGTCTTGCTTTTCTCCAGGGTACATGCCTGAGCTGTAATCCGCCAACTATAGGTTTCTAGTTGTTGCTGGTATCATAGGCACATGCCACCACCTTCTGTTTCTCTCTCAACCTTGCAAGTAGCTAGGATTACAGGCCCTAGCTGGCACCCAGCTCACTTGTGGTCTTGGAGTTACTGTAGCTGGTCAGATAATATTAACAATTGATTTTATATTTGATTATTTACTATAAGCCAAGTTTTGTGCTAACTGCTTGACATGAGTTGTCTTATTTATTTTGAGATAAGGTTTTACTAAGTTTTTTTTTTTTTTGTCAGTCATGGGGCTTGAACTCTGGGCCTGAGTGCTGTCCTTCAGCTCTTCAGCTCAAGGTGAATGCTCTACCACTTGAGCTACAGCTAATTGGAGATAAGAGTTTCACAACCTTTCTTGCCCAGGCTGGCTTTGAACTGTGATCTTCAGATCTCAGTCTCCTGAACAGCTAGGATTCATGGGTATGAGCCACGAATGCCCGGCAGGGCTTTACTAAGTTGTTATCTAAGCTGGTCTCAAACTCCTAGATCAAGTGATGCTCCCACCTCAGCCTCCATAGTAGCTGGGAACAGGTGTAAGCCATATCCTGCTGAATTGTCTCACTTCAACTTCTTAACAAATCTAGAGTAGAGCAGTGTTAAACTGTTTGTGGCAGAGAAAATTGAGAGATTCTAATTATTTAATAGCATGCCTAATATCACATAGCTAAAACTGGTACTAAAACCAGAATTTGGACCTAGGTTATCTGGAGTTGGGCTATGTTCTAACCACTCTGCTCTGTTTCATCAAGACCAACCAGACGTCTCATGTAAGTTATTCACTTACCTCTTCACTCTCTGTGAATAGTTCCTGAATTACATCAGTATTTGAGGGGACTGGAGTCATCTCTGGCTTTCTATATTCTCCCAGTAGCTTCTTTTCAGTTGCTAAGGGGTCTGCTTTGGCTAAAAGCTCTTCAGTCTCTCTGCAGGGCTCCCCATATCCTTCAGTAGCTTCAATTTCCCTTCCCTCTTGTTGCCTGGTTCCAGATGTAGGGCAGCCACCTTCAATTGGTTCTTTGCTGCTAATGCACAATGGTTCCATTAAATATGCTACCTGTAATCAAAGTTTATTATTAGATGCATAAGCATACCATTGGAAACCATCATCCATTAATCCGTAATGCTATATGCTTATGCTGTTACTGTGACTAGGTCTGATATGACAAGTAGGTTTACTTAATCAATTTAGTCATTTTAAATTTAGCAAATATTTATGTAAGTTAATTGCTGCCTCTTTCAAAAGTTTTTCATCTAATGTGAGAGTGGCTATCTAGAAAACCTGAAAATATTCTTTGCTACAGAAACTAGAGAAAGAACAGGCACTAATTAAACTGGATACTAGTTGATCTTAACCTAGATTATACTGAATGTTCATTTGCAGCATGCATATAATCATCTGTCCTTATCTACTTCTGGTTCTTAGCCTTTGCCAAAGTAGTTGCACTTGAATTAATGTTAAGGATTCTCATTAAGGCAATCTGGAAAAAATTGTAATTTCTAGAACTCAGCTGCCTAAAGATCCTGGTCTTAGAACATTTGGTGCATATTCTAAGTTGTACACAGGTGGCTAACATCTGTAATCCTAGCTATTTAGGAGGCTGAAATCTGAGGATCACAGTTCAAAGCCAGCCCAAACAGGAAAGTCCATAAGACTCTTTTTTTTTGGCGGGGGGGGGGGGGGGGGGGGGGGGTAGGGGGGGGGTGGGGAGGGGGAGGAATCCGGTGGTCGTGTGCCTGAACTCTGGGCCTGGGCGCTGTCCCTCAGCTCTTCAGCTCAAGACTAGCACTCTACCACTTGTGCCACAGCGCCACTTCGTATTTTTTTTTTTTTCTGCTTATGTGGTGCAGAGGAATCGAACCCAGGGACTCATGTATGCAAGGCAAGCGCTCTACCACTGAGCCACCTTCCCAGCCCTCATAAGACTCATTTTCAATTAACCATCAAAAGCCAGAAGTGGAGGTATGGCTCAAGGGGTAGAGCACTAGCCTTGAGCAAAAAGATCAGGGATAGCTAGGCGCTGGTGGCTCACACCTGTAATCCTAGCTACTCTGGAAGCTGAGATCTGATGATCGTGGTTCAAAGCCAGCCCAGGCAGGAAACTCTGTGAGACTGTTATCGCCAATAAACCACCAGAAAACTGAAAGTAGCACTATGTATGGTTCAAATGGTAGAGCACTCACTGTGAGCTGAACAGCCCAGGGACAGCATCAAGGCCCAGAGTTCAAGGCCTCCTCTCTCCTTCCCCAGACCCTGAGTAGTTCAAGCTCTAGAACCTGCACCACCTCACCCCTCACCAAAAAACAAAAAAAAACAAACAAAAAACCCCACAACCATTTGGTGCATATTCTACCACAAGGGCTGGGACACAGCAATGAGCTAGTCATTACCATTATGGAGCTTATATTTTAGTGAACGATTTTAAGAGAGGAAGAAGCATGTAAGGATAATGCATTTTTGGAAAGTTAGGCCAAGGATAGCGGCATATGACCAAAAAACTAAGCACTAGGGAGCCTGAGGCAGTAGGCCAGGAGTTCCAAATATAATAGCTCACCATTACCTCAGAGAGAAAGTGAAGGAGGTTCTGGCTGCTCACTTGTTCGTTCTCTTCCTGAGATTCCTCACTGCCTCCATCTCCCAAAAGCAGTTCACTAGATTCTCTCCCTGGGCTGCTTTCTTCTAGTTCCTCAGTCTCTGGATCCTCAGTTTCCCTCCAGCTGCCTACATCAAGATCCAGACTGGAGTCCCATGAGCTGAAGAGGGACCTGCAGTCGTTGCTCAACTCAGACTCATTGGGATAGTCTCGTTCAGAATCCAACCAAACCCACTCACGCCCCATCTGTAAATATAGAGAAAAAATACATTAAATTCATTCAAATCAATATTTCTAAGGTAATGCCATCATCCACGTTCTGTAGAAAGGAGCAAGAAATTTCTTTCTGCTCACTAGTAAGAGTAAAACCTAGCTGAAGGTGGATATTGAAAAATGAAATGACATAAACTAGTACAACCACTGTGGACAGCAGTCTGGAGGTTCCTCAAAAAACTTAACATAAATCTTCCCTACGACCCAACCATACCACTCCTAGGCATCTACCCAGAATATCACAAGCCAGGATACCATAAAGACACTTGCAAATCCATGTTCATTGCTTCACTCTTCACAATAGCCAAGTTATGGAAACAGCCCAGATGCCCTACAATAGATAAGTGGATAAAAAAATGTGGTACCTATACACAATGGAATTTTACACAACCACTAGATTATGTCATTTGCAGGGAGTGAATGGACCTAGAATAAATCATGTTAAGTGAAGCCAAGCTCAGAGACACAAAAGGCTCACATTTTCTTTCCTATGGGAAAGCTACATTAATACACCAGGACATGATACAGGACTCCTAAGTATTCACACAAAGTGAGACCCAAAGAGAATATTCTCAGGAGAGAAATACAAACACACAATGCCTATGTACATCTGATCATAGAAAATAATTATAAAAATGAACTCTAGAAAATGGAAATGGGATTTTTTTTGTTGCTGTTTCTCTTTACTTTTTGTCGGTCATGGGGCTTGAACTCTGGGCCTTGGGCACTGTCCCTGAGCTCTTCAGCTGAAGGCAAACATTCTACCACTTGAGCCACAGCACCACTTCTGATTTTCTGGTTGTTAATTGGAGATGAGTCTCACAGACTTTCCTGCCCAGCCTGGCTTTGCTCCATGATCCCCAGATCTCAGCCTCCTGAGTAGCTAGGATTACAGGCATAAGCCACCGGTGCTTGGCTTTTTTCTTAATCTGTCTTTGGGAGAGTAAGGAAAGATACAGAAATTGACAAAGCATGAACAAATACATCAGTGATACTCACTACAGACAGGACAGTATGTTGAAAAAGAACTATACAATTTGTGAGTTGTGAGGGAAAAACTTGGGAGCAAGGAAAGGAATGACATTGCCCAGTGCTCTGTCACTTGAGCCACAACTCCATTTCCAGCATATTGGTGGGTAATTGTCAATGAGTCCCATAGACTTTCCTGCCCAGGCTAGCTTCAAACCATGATCCTGAGATCTCAGCCTCCTGAGTGGCTAGGATTACTGGCATGAACCATTGGTGCCTGACTTTACTCGACTTTTTAACTTGAATTATATTGTATTACAAAAAAGGGGATGGGGGAAACCTGGAAAATAACTGAACAGATTTCTTCTATCCCAAATCACCCATAAAGCAACTACAAAGCAGTAAATTTGAGGAGAAAGGAAGCATTTTCCCCAGTGTGTATGTATGTTAACTATTATACTAAAACATCTTCAAGATTATTTTGCCATCCTTCTGGTCAAATCTCTCAGTTTCGAATAAAAACAGTTAAGTTTTAAAGCTATCTTCCCTTCCCCATTAATATATTATCCTTTTCTTGCACCTTTATCTTTCGCCTCTTACAACTTTAGTTTCCTTGGTTCTCTATATATTATCCTTTTCTTGCACCTTTATCTTTTGCCTCTTACAACGTTTAGTTTTCTTTGTTCTGCGCTTTAATAATTTCTTTAGGGCTGGGAAGGTGGCTCAGTGGTAGAGCACTTGCCTTGCATGCCTGAGGCCCTGGGTTCAATTCCTCAGCACAACATAAGCAAAAAGAAAAAAGCCGATAGTGGCACTGTGGCTCAAGTGGTAGAGCACTAGCCTTGGGCTGAAGAGCTGAGGGACAGCGCTCAGGCCGAGTTCAGGCCCCACGACCGGACCCCCCTAAAAAATAAAATTTCTTTAAAAGATGTATATAAACTTTTATAGTTTTGAGTGGAAACTATGCACAGCTCATTGCTGTGCCCCAACCTCTACTTGTAATTTTTTTGGGGGGGACAGGGGAGGTTGAGACAAAAACCTCACTATGCTTTTGAATCTGTACTTTCTGCCCGAGCCCTCTGGGTGCTGCAACTCAAGCACCTTCATACCTAGGTAAAGCTTTACTACTTATATGCATTCTGATATTTCTCTATGCATCTAATTTCATTTATATAGCCTACCATTTTCATACAATCTTAAAAGTTTCTCCTATTCAATATTCCCATCCCTTATTCCTATTACTAAACCTCTTCTTATATCTAATTAGATTTCTAACTGAAATACTTTCTTCCTATCTCTATTTTTTTTTCTTCCTATCTCTAAAACCACTCTTCCCAATTTTCTCATTCCTATTGCTAATCACCTTTCTTGTTTACTAAGCACATCTTCTTTCCAATCTTTCTTGGAATATTTTTCTTCACTTCTGAATAAATGGCAGTCTTTTAGTTTTTCTCTTTACTTCAACCTACTATAAACTATTCTAGTATCAATTGCTGCCTTGAATATAAATTTCTGCCATCTCAAGTCCTTTAGTCTTATTTGACTGTATTCTTTTCACTATTCCTTACAATGTTTTTGTTTTTTTCGCTCATGGGGCTTGAACTCTGGGCCTGGGCGCTGACCCTCAGCTTTTCAGCTCAAGGCTAGCACTCACTTGAGCCACAGCGCCACTTCTGGCTTTTTTCTGCTTATGTGGTGCTGAGGAATCAAACCCAGGGCATCATGCATGCAAGGTAAGTACTCTACCACAGAGCCAACATCCAGTCCCTTACTATGTTTTTATTGGTTATCTCTTTATTACCAAAGACTTAAACTTGGTTTGCTAAGTTCACTTTTCACCATTTTTAATAATGCTTTTAACACGTTTATGGATTTGCCTTGAATTCTAATTACTTCTATTTCCTTACTAACTTACTAAGTTTTAAAAGGTTTAAGACCTGTGATTCTTCTTAAACCCAACTTTCTGGAGATGGAGTTACATAATGCAAAATGCCATATTAATCAACTCTATAATAAAAGGCTCATAATTAGTTCACTACTGAAATTTTCTTAGTAACAGAATTCAGGTGATAAATTTGATCTCTGGTTTTCCACAGGGCTAGGGATTGAACCTAGGACCTTGCACATGCTAGAATTGCCTACATGTCCAGCCCAAGAGAACTTTTTATTAGGTTAGCCTTCAAGCAAGAATATCAAGAACTCTTGGCTGGGCATGATGACACACATCTGTAATACAAGATACATGGGAGGCAGAGAATGAAGAATTGATAGTTCCAAGAGAGCCTGGACAACATAACGAGACTCCATCTCCAAAACAAAAAGAAAACTCTCAGTCAGACGCATAGAAATGGAAAGGAACCGGCAATATCTTATCCTGGAAATACCATCTGCAAAAGTGTTACGATACTTACTAACGTAAAAGCCAATGCCTCTTAAATGTACTCTCTTCTTTAAGCAATACATGAGCAGAATTCTGAAAACCTTAAATTTTCCCATTGAAGAAAAGCTGAGTAAGATAGCCCTTACTGCACAATTCAGTATGTTAAAAATACAAATGTAAATTAAGTCCTCCTCTCAGCTGCAGCAGGTAGCTTGTAAGATGGCACTTCAGCTGTAACCTCATTTCCACAAATATTTAGGTAGGTTATGTAAAAGAAATCACTTATTTCACACACACTCACTCTCACACACACACAAATGATACACCAAAAGCTAGATTTTTATTTATTGTATACACACACTTCACAGGTTTATTATTATTTAAAAAAAAGTCTGTACATTACAACCTAGTTACAACTAACTAGCTACACACTAGGGCATTAACATAGCCCATGATTTTTGCCCTAAAACAGGCAACTATGTTACTCCAACTTTCTGAGATTTTCTCAGCTCATGTCATTTGGCCCGGTGTCTCCTCTTCTGTAACTGGGCCCATATCACTTTTTGACCTTTTAGCTAAGACCAAGTATGGAACTGGGCCCACAAGCCCAAGCTCTAGCTTGTTTACTTCATTTCAGGTTCAGCTCAAAGAGGGTACACTTTGAGGATTCACTTTTTCATCTTCATATCTGCTTCAATGGCACAGCGGCGTCCCCTGGTTCCCCCATCCTATATGACAGCAGAGAAAGAATAGGAATGTAAGTGAGTTGGTTAGGAGGTAAGAGACAATGTACAACAAAAATGTTGGGAGATTTGTTTTCTTGGGGGAGAGGAGAGAATCAGTAGGAAACTCCAGAAGGAGGAGGGCATTTTCTGTATTCCCACAGAGTAGCTAAAAGAACACCTTGTAGTTTGTGAGAGGAAATGTAGGACAGAGTATCTTGCTCATGCCCATCCACAAAGGTCCTTGGAATCCACCTAGGGTCCCACAGAATGACTTATTAGTCATCCCCCCCAGGCCCAAATCATGTGCAAGGAATTGGAAGAGTAAATGAAATGTGGCAGAGTCAGAAAAGGGAATGAATAATGAGGTTCTTGGCTAACATACCTGTCCAGCTGTTGGTCCCTATAAGAAAGGCCTTTCCTGCAGACTGACCCTGGCACTAGTTCCCTAGCACCTCCTGACAGTTGTTTTCCATGAGATCAGGACAATCAGGCTTCTTTCCATCTGCTGCTCTCTCCCTGCAGCCCAGCTCCTTCCTCTTGTGCAATACTTTGCTGTCTTCAATAGATAAACGATCCTATTAATCAGCCTTGCAATAGCCAGCCAATTGCTTGGGGATCCAGAGTCACTGTTGCAGGCCAATAAGAAAAAACGCAGATCATAGTGTTCTGTCTGTGGTACAGGCTGAGAGGCCTGTAGGCAAGATGAACTAGTGAAGACTTTTGCTGGGCCAGATTACTTTTACATTTCTATTATGCAAGGATTCTAAAATTTTTGGAGCTCACGAACCAAATCTGCCTATGAGGCAACAGTAAGAATAAAAATAACACCTTGCATTTGTATAATACTTTTAATTATTTCTTTCAAGCCCATTCCATACTTATTTCATCCTCACAACATCCCTGTG